ACTGTAATTCAAAAAATCTCGATACTATTTTAATGAGAAAAAATTAAACCTTTTTTATAAAAGATAAAACTTAAGTTTTGATCTGCCTTAAAACTATTCAGGTTAAACAGAGTTTTAATCGTTTGAGACGTCTTTTAAAATACGGGCCCCAAGAAGCGATAAATGAAATAAATTGTTTTGATAGGTAATCGATACCTTAAATTAATTTTAAAGCACGTTTTTTTTATTTACTAAAAAAATTTAACACAGAAAAAAAAAATTTTGGGTTTGTGAGTGAAAAAAATCATATTTTAATAACCAAATTTTTGTATTTAAGATTTTGGTGTCGGTGGTGGTCCGTGTGGTGCGGATTTAAGAAAAAAATTTTCACCACCCCAATTCATCCCGGGGATCGTAAGAGCCGACTAAGGGAGCAAACTAAGCGGGCAACGCCTGCAAAGGGGAAGGAAAACTTAAACAAAAACCCCATACCAACCCTTGGCCAGCGTGGGAAGAGGCCAAAACTACTAGTATAGGCTGTTGATGATGATGATTGATGAAGTATTTTGGTATTTAGGCAGTTCATATATAATGTAAGGAAATATTCTTTCGTTCCTCTATGAGAGAAATTCATGGCTACTTAATACAGTATTAACTACACACACAACAGTATTAACAGCATAGCTTAGAATTAGTGTTAGTATATATAGAATACATTAGTATAGAGCTCTTGAAGTTGGTCATTCTAAATGCGACACGGATCCATTGCACTCCAGTGTACTCGTATTTGCTGTGTTTTATCGTAATAAAAGTCGATAACTTTTGTTTGATACAATAATTAACTATGAATTTGGTAGGGTATATTCATATTTAAATTCCCATAAAAAAATTTAGCTACTGCTAAGTATTTTTAATTTATTTATTAAAAAGAAATTTAAAGGCCAAAAAAACTGTCTTTTGTCAAAACAAGTGAGACTTAAACAAAAAATGTGGATTAAAGTTTATATGACTTTTATATTATTTTTACATTTTTGTTGTAGTACATCTATCCATAAAATTTTTTGAGGAAAAAATTTTAAAGTTAAATGAAAATTTAAATTCTTTGTTTTATTACATAACGGGCTTTGCCTACGATGGGAAAGGGAAAAAGAGTTACTAACAGGCGGCCCCTAGGCGGGGGCATCAATGTGCGTGCGGTTTTGTCGGTTCGAGCCCGACATGCCCGACAGGTGGTACCCCGGGGGAATTTCGCATGTTTAAAAAAAAAAAGGGCATCAAAAGGGCGTGCCACTTTGCGCTTCGGTTCAAAGTTTTCAAAAATCAGTTTTTATTTCTTCTTCGGGGTGCATGTGCACATGGTACGAAGGGACCCTAAACACCCCCCCCACTTTCCCCTTACCGCCATCGTAACATTTCCCTTATTAAAAAAGACGAGACTTTTTCATCAGAGAAGTTAGTTTTTTTTTAATTTAAAAATTTTGAAATGATATTTCTTTTTCGCCCGGGCCGCTTCCCCCTCAACCTTGTGAAAGTTTAAAATTAAATTTTTTGAATTAAGCCTAATGGCAGTGGTAAACGATTTCTAAGGAAAGAGTTTTCAGCAATTAAAATTTCATTTATTTGATGGCAGAAAACCGTATCTTAATTGCTTTTCATTACTCGAATGAAAAAAGGCAGTTTGAATTTGCAATTTGTGGAGATTAATCAGCTTCTTTAGGAAATTATTGTCTCAACAAACAGATTGAAATAAACGTAAATAGACGGTTATAAATTCAAAAGATATAAGAGAGAATAGTCATTTCAATATTAATTACAATTATTAAAATTTTAATCAGTTTTATCAACATGCACATGTTTTATTTATTCTGTACATGAGAGTAGGTATATGTGCTTTTGCGTGATTGAGAAAAAGGTTCAAAATGTGTTACGTTCTTTCAATCTCTACTCTAACTTGAAGCTATATTTCTATATCTGAGTAGTGCCGTGTAGTAAAATTAAGCACAAATTAAGTCATAATAAGTAGGGTACGATCCCTTAAATTTGAGCAAAATATTTTGAAACCACATTAATATTTTAAGCTATTTTAATTGGCAAAATAACTTAAATATATTGTTAAATTTATTAATACTTCAGCCAAATGTCAAATTGACTTGTCTTTTTATTTCTTTATTCAAGAATTATTTCCCATCAAATATAAAGACATACAGATCTATATATTAAATCTAAAACAATACTGAACATGGTAATTAATAACACTAGCTATCCGATGTTTGATAAATATCACAATTTAAAGGTCTCGCAAGTCCCACAATTTGCGGCACGCGGAGTATCTCAAGTCAACTGATTTGCTCCATGTTTTCTTTCATTTTCGTTACCAAGCTATAAGATTCAATTTCTTTGTTAATTTTAAAATGAAAATTTTGTGTGTTTAATGTTTTACTATTGGTGTGATATGAAGTGATAATTGGTTCAAGATCATTTTGTCAACAGTGAGTACATGAGATAAATATTGTATAATGAAATAATCATTAATTTATAAAATGAGATTTTATAAAATAATGGATTAAATACGCTTATCGCACAGGTATAGGGTTTTACATAAATATTGCGTTTAATTTAATTACTTACAAAGTATGGACTATATTTGCATGGCTCATGGAAATTATGGAGCAACACAACGTTCACTCCATTCATCATCCATATCACTATTTAAGAGATCGTATCCTAAAACGACAATCAAACGTATACAAGTTCGAGACAATCTACGTCATAAATTATTTTCTCAGAGAAAGGCACCGAGCGAAACTTAAGCCTGACATAAGTGGGCAATAAACTTCAGCCAATTTGGAGATTCGCATCTGGAGGCTCTTATTAAAGCCCGAAAGTTAGTCCTTTTCATCCATCACTCCTAATACGTGTGTGAGTTATTGTATGAAAAATTGAAGAATAAATTGAGTCGCTGCAGCAGCGGCGAGACATAAATCCCAACTGAGCCCTCAATATTGTTTTAAAGGGGAAGTGGCCATAAATTTTATCAGGGCCGCCCAGAGCAGCCGCGGGCGCTGTGCCGCACCGCATACGCCACGCTGCGTTGCCGCCTCGCACCCGCAAGTACCCGCAACTCCGCAACGATACTGTCTCCACAATTTTCCGCTACTGCTCTTACTGCATTTGATGCTCATGCTACTGTTCATGTGAATTTGTTTTGTTATTTCAGTAGAAATTGAAATCTTCCTCATGGATAACTACGTTATCGTGAAATATGAGGTAATATCCACGTATATGAAATTGGCCAATGCGGCAATCTTCTACTGCACAGCCGGTAGTAAATTCCCGAACCGTAGTTACTTTAACTTCGTTCAGTTAGTTTCATGAAAATGCAGTGAAATAAAATATATTCTGGGTAATAGACTGGAATATCGTAGGCACTCAGTTGCTTTTTTTATTAATACGAATTGTAGTATTAAATATTTTTTAACACTGCACTTTTCTTTTAAGAACACTACCGCACTAGGAATATATCCTGTGTCGCGGCTGACCTTACAAATATAGATGAAACGGACAAAAATAACACCCAGACTCAGAACAACAATTTGTGTTTCTTTTTTATGGTATAAGGGGGCAAACGAGCAAACGGGTCACCTGATTGTTAGCAACTACCGCCGCCCATGGACCACTACAACTCAAAAGTCACAAGTGCGTTGCTGCCCTTGGAGACACTCCCGCTCAAGGCAGCGAGAGGGGGGATTTGGGCTCCGGTCACCTCACTCACATAGTGAAAGGCAACGAAAGAATTGTTTAACACCGGCTTTCTGTAGGGCCGTGGTATCACTCCGGTCGAGTCGGCCCATTCGTGCCGCAGCACGGTAATCACACAAAGTATTGTCCTAGAGTATTCTAGTATTCTATTGAGCACTTGTAAAATTATTAACAAAAAACAAAGAAAGTAGCAAAACACTGGCAGTTGTAGCAACCGTGAATTTATTTACGGTAGATACTTCCCCTGGTTCTTCGAAACAACATATTTTCAAACTACTCATACACAGTATTCATGTGTTTCACTCGGCCTGTCCTTTTAAAACCTTTATGTTTTTTGTATTCCGCTCACAAAACATAGACTACAATCAGCAATACCGTAGAAAAACAAAGTATCAGTACAAGTTTGTGGGGCACAATAAAAAATCGCTTATTTTTATCAATACGATCTGGTGTCGGACATTTCGCATAAATGTGATATTGCAATATCGTTCGTCCCCTTTTTAATATCGCGACGGACGCTGCTGGGCGGTTTATGGCACAACCCTTCCCGAGTTTTATTCGCGACCTGTTTGTCCTAATACTATGAAAAAATTGACGTTGGCAAAAAGAAAACGTCTCCACTACTTTTATTTTTTTGAAATTTGATTTAGTTCTTGTGCTGTACAATTCATAAGGCTCTTTTATTGTTTGAAAATAGTGCGGCTGCACTACCATCCATTTTAACATCATTATCATCATGATACTTCAAAAAGGGTAAGCGAACATTATATCACTTGTGGTATTGGGCAGTAGGTATAGATTCTTAATAAAAAATCCATTGACAAAAACTGTGCAAACAACTTTCCAAAATCAACGTCGGATAGCCTGATACCCACTATGCCATCTATACACTCCTTAGAATAAGTCTAACATCTTCTTGCTCAAGTTGGGAATATACAGCCCACTTAGGATTAGTATTATTTCTGCGGTACGAAACGGCAAGTAGGTATGCCCATCAATATAAAAAAGGATTTTCCAAATCGATTTATAAATAAATAACACAACCGTATTAAGAATATTCTTCTTATTTTGAAATCAGTTAATTAGCTATGGATTACTAATGACATTGAAACCTCAAAAAGTCATTTGCATCATTTCAAATATTCACACTAAATTTTTATTCTTCATGATTATATTCGATTGAATTTATTGATATATTTGCTGATTAAATTATGATTTGAACCTTTTATTATTAGGCAATATATTGAATAATGTATACTTACTACTGGCATTGTCAGGTTTGTGCATGGCCGGAGGATCTCGAATCATGATGGGCTCGTCACTCGCGCATTACACAACAACACTTAAATCCTGAAACAACAAAAGTGGACATTACAACAATGAACACTGCACGCTACGTTTTTATTTACAAATGATTTAATAGACGGAATCACTGTGTTTTTATGATAGTAAATAAAAACTGATAAATGAAGCCAAGATCACGTTCTGGGGGTTCAATAAATAAGCTTCAACTAAGTTTCTATTTTTAAAAGTACAACGTGAGGATTGCATAGCGAAAACTTTAACTTTAAATAACAATTATTACACAATGTAAATTATAATAAACTTTAATATTCAAATAACTTTTTTTGTTTTTATAACTAGGGGCAAAAAGTAATTTAATATGAGGAATGTATTATGAATTTCGTAACTTAAGCGTCTATTCTTTCTTTGGGTGTACAAAATGGAAAGTCGGTAAGTTATAGCACCAAAAGGCTAATATCATATAATACTCTGTATTTCAACAGCCGGCCCTTTACAGACAGATATTATTATTATTATTATATTGCTAGTAGTTAACGACTTTAGAAGAGAGATGAGATGTTTTATATCTGAACATAAAAAATACTTTCTCTTCGCCTTGTTAAAATATTAAATTTGTTAAATTAAATGTATTTACGGAATATTCTTCTTACACTTACATACCCTATTTCACATCTCACTATGTAATAAACATGTCCAACCAAGTATACTTAAACATCTGTATTTACAAGGATTCTATCCAAACAAGGTACATATTACGCTGAGAAGGCCAGCACCAGCACGAGTCGCGCCGTGAAACCTCATTAGAATAAACGATATCCTCTCCTTACGTCCACTCCGCGAGACCTTATTACTCCGACAAACTGCCGTCAAACTGTACCAACCAGGAAGATAAAAAATTACTAAAGAGAACCTTGTTGTCCATTACTTACGGCTTGCTTTTCGATAGCAATATTCAACTTAACATCCAGATAATAATTTTCTGTCTTACAAATACGATCTAGAGTCGAATTTCCAATGTAGTGCGGATAACAAACGCACTATCAGTTGCTATTATTCCGCGAAGGTTGAGACGTCCAAGCAAAGCTGTAAATTGAAACTTGGGGGAGGCACTAATATCTCTTGTGGCTTGTCTCGTGTGCATATTGAATGACATCAATTTTGTAACTTTGTAAGAGGCGATAACAGGATCACACGTGAGTTAGATGTATTATAAATATAACATCCCCAATCTCATTCCCTTATCCAGATCTGGGTTCTATTGTATTGACAGCTGCGGCCTAATTTTAATAATTTCATCCTCAGAATTCGTAACATCGTTATGCTTTATCACTTTCATCAGCGTTGCAAGACAACTATGTTGTTAGTTATATTTACGTGTTTCCTTTGTTTTCCTTTTTTACAAGTCCATAAGTTACGAGTAGTTTAGATTTTTGTAAGTATTAGGTACGGTGTGTTTTAAGTTGCTATTGTAACCATAAAGCTGTTTAAAAAAAACTGTCAAAATAATTTGTAGTGTACTCTATGCATTATTATCAGCTAATCATTTCTCTGAAAGTATATTTTTATGAACAAATCAATTAAATAGGGGTCGATGACACTAGACAATTGAAGCTAGTTCCTTACTCGTATTATAATAAAAAATGAGAACAAAATAATTTAACCCCTGGACATGATCGGACAAATAGAGTATCGGACATGAATTGACATAATGTAACTCTGGACAAACAGGGTCCTCTTAATTTACATTTAGTATATCTATAAAAGTGTTGATTACAAAATTTAAAAAACAATTATCACTAAAAAATATCTTTATAACTAACATTATTATACCTACGAAAGTAATTTTGGCTGTTCGTTGTTTTTAGCTATTATGTGTGCTAGTGTTTTCACATTTTAGCTATTGAATGAATCATCATAAAATTTGTACACCTGTTGTCAGAAAAACAGAAAAGGTTATACCTACTGTACCTTTGATCCGGAATAAAATATAGTTCCCTAGGGATACCTGATTGGTAAAACTACATTCGCACATTCTACCTCGGCAAAAATCTAGTCATTTATGATAGTCATTTTTAGGATAGAATAAAGTCTCATAGATGTATGTTATCAATCTTTTCATGTATTTACAAAGACTGTAATGTTCTTATTTTAGTATAGATCTCCTTCGTAACAAAATCCTTATAGAGTACAAAGTGATCACCGCAAAAGAGCTATTCGTAAATAAACTAAACGACGTAGGAACGCACACACAAAGGTCGGAAACAGACTCTTTATCATCTGGGCCTGTGGTTGCAATGAAGCGATCCATCTTTGGAATACTTTGAAGCGATTTATCGGTTTCCGGCGGCGCCGGCGCAGCTCTAATATCAGTAATGTATATTATAGATATAGACATAGTAAACAAGGAATTTAAATCTTCAAAACATCGTACAAGTGTATAAATACAATGTTTTATAATGTTTTTCATTTATCATTGATCATATTTCATGAGTTTGGTAAAGAGTAGTGTTAAGGATGTGTTTTACAAATGCTTTTTGTTTATAACAAAAACATCAATTTAATAAAACAAAAAAAATTAACAATTACTTTTAACTATTGAAATTAATCATCTTAGACAAAACTTTATCCTAAAACACAATCGTACTGTAGGTTGTTGTAATTTTACCAATTTGTGAGAAATAACACCAGCATATGGGGCACTAATTTAGGAAACTAAGTAATAACTTTTTTTAACTTACTTAACTATAATATATAAAACATTACTCTTTTTACGTATGTCAATATTAATTTTAACTGGGTAATTAGATAAAGTTTCAAATGAGTGTCAAACAAAACATAACTGAGTTTCTTAAGATGAATTTACAGGTTTAGAACCTAAGTCACGTGTTGACAAATCTTCTTATTTCTACCAATCTAATCACATCAATTTTATTAACGGATGTAAAATCTTAAACAGTACAACTGTAACACACAAGACACAAGTGTGTTCTCGCTCGTGGAGTGATAAAAACCCGAGGTAGAGTAGAGGAGAAACAAAATCAGAGAAAAACAAGGAAAGAACTGCTTAACACCGGTTTTCTGTGAGGCCATGGTATTCCGTCTGTCGAGCCGGCCCATATGTGGCGAAGCACGATAATTAAAATGCGACACACTCGAACGACTTTGCCACATAGTGCTATTAAAATACTATTGTTACATCACTAAATTATCTAGTATTATCTAATGAGCCGCATTAATTATTCAGCCAATCGATTGTTTTTAATAAACCGCTTTCAATTTTTAATGAAGAAGATGATATTGGTACTACGTAATTATGACTTTCTGACCTACAGCATATAAATATTAAATTAATATGCCAATCTAATACCAAGGTAACAGTTTATGCATATTAAAATAAAAGACAGGCCCACAATGCTGTGTGTGAAATAATTTTGAGGGTTTCTATTTACCTTATAAGGAACGAAACCACAAAAGCTGTTAAATAAATTAGAAATAATAAGGTTGTTAGTCTAGTCTCACAAAATGAAAAAAAAAAGTGAAGAAGTACCAGCTACATATAACTAAAAGAATAAGTGACTAATCAGTAGTTTATAGTGCAACACGAGAACATCATTAATTAACAAAACGTTTTAATAATCTTTTTTATTTATAACAAAGTTATATTATTACTTGAGCACTACTTTATCTGTTAAAATAAAACGTTTATGTTAAAATCTTTTTGTGACTGATAATATCTTAAAGTAAAATTAAAAGTTTCGATTACATAATTATACATTTCAAAGCAGATGTTGAAACCCTTTTAACCACATTAACTTATCTCATTTTATACACAAATGATTACGTAAGAATTAAATGTAACCTATCAAAAATATCACTAGGTAAGCATACAATAAAAACATAATATGCTATCAAACTTGAATGAAATGAAAAAAAATTATAACCACATCGAAATTCCCATCAGCACCTGTTACAAAGGCGGCTATCAAATTACCCGCGACATATCCGCGGAGCGCGGCGGAGCGGGTGCGCCTCCATCCATAAATACGGTATTCGTTATGCATTTCTCATATTCATGAATCCGTTTTATTGGCCCCAATAAAATATGAACATCTCAGAATGGATATGAGAGAGCGGGCAAATCTAATATGGATTGCTTGCGCCGGATTTGGTCCGAACGGCGGGAGGGGACAGACAGATGCGCCACTGCGAGCCCCTGGGTCATAACCACCGCTTATCTTTGTATAACTATCTTCCATAACCTCATTCACGTTACTCATTCACGTTACTCATAAAGCTTTTTAAGTAAGAATATATGGGGTAGGAGGTAGCAAGAGACTAAGAAAGTGTAAACGGTTCGACGCAGTAGAAGAAAGTCAGACTTATAGGCCTGCATTAGATAGGAGTTATAGTACTTTCGCGTATGAAAGAATATATATAAACCTCGTACCCCGTAGTGGTTACTTAGTAGATTGTGAATTACTCACAAAAGACTTTTTACTGAAGGAAATAAAATAGATTACGTCGTGACTATCACATACATAAAAAAGAAGATCCCACAGTGCTTTGTCACTAGGGGTAGTATGAGACTGACAAACGATGTCGCCCAACATAAAATGCGAATTTAAAGGACTTGGGCTCAGTAAACCACCTGAAGAAAAGGCCAGTACTTGAGCGGTGTCAAAACTTCAACAGAGTGCTGGGATAAGAGGAATAGATGACGGGCGACTCTGTACCGGATAAAACATTCTATGTCAACTCGTACGCCACCGGTTCTCGCCCAGAGTACCTACTTCATAGGAGTCGATTATTTATTCGCTTTTACGTCAGCTCTTTTGTGCCCTTTTAGATTTATATCCACTGCCTCTTTTATTATATCAGAGAAAGCCCCTGATATGATAGTCTTGATTTTAAGTGTTTTAGCGGCGCCCTGCTTTTACCCTTGCGACGTCATACAAACAGTGGTCTGGCCTCTCAACTTTCATATTATATAAATAAATAACCAG